AAGGACATCATTGCAGAGCCGGCGGGTAAAGCCATTGGAGCTTACATCAACTGTAGCGAAAAGGCGGTCCAGCATGGGCTATGCTTGGTTGGTGCACCTCCTGAGAAGCGCTTGAGTTTGTCGTTACTGACGCTTCATCTTTGTGGCCTCCCATATACAACGGTGTCGCTACATAGATGCATTCTTGGGGCCTGGGTCTCTATGCTCATGTTTAGGCGGCCCATGATGAACTTGCTCAACAGGTCTTTTGCTCTGGTCAATTCCTATCTGGCTTGTGATGATGCTTGCCTCATTCCGCTTCCTAGAGAAGTGGCATGTGAACTTGTGCTGGTTGCTGTTCTTGCTCCCCTGATGCAGACCGACATTGCGGTTCCCTTCTCTCCAACAATTTTTGCAACTGATGCCTCCGACAGCAGAGGAGCTATTTGCAGTACAGAGGCTACACCGGAGTTAGCACAGCTGCTTAGCAAACATTGCAAAACGAAGGGGGCTTACACTAGGTTGCAATCTGAGTGGACAACCTTGAAGAGGAGAGTCTTTGCAGAGGATGCTATCGAGGAGGAACTGGCTCAGACGTCACTGCAGAAGCCCCTTGCGTTTACATTCAGCTTTATTGAGGTTTTTGCTGGAGCTGCCAGAGTCACCAAATGCATGGGCGATCTTGGGGTCTCTTGCGGTCCTCCTTTGGACCTCTCCTTTTCATCGGAATACAACCTGAAGAGCACGCATGTCTTGGAATGGTTATTTCATCTCATTGAGGAGGGTTCTTTGAAGGGCCTGATGATTGAACCTCCATGTACCACTTTCTCAATCATGAGAAGACCGGCTTTGCGGGACGCTTCACACCCGTTTGGCTTCAGCCCTCATGAAGAGAAGACGCAGGACGGGAACATACTGGCACAAAGAGGTTTGCAGCTGATGTGGAAAGCTGGTGTTCATGGTGCATCGGCCATGTTTGAGAGGCCCTTCACGGCCAAGTCAAAGCACTTGCCTTCATACAAAGCAGTTGCAGCCCTCTCGAATGCGACCGAGATCAGGTGTGATTCGTGCCAATTTGGCTCCCCTCATCAAAAGTCCTTTGCTCTTCTTGGCATCAATCTTGACATGGCCCCCCTGAATCGAAGATGCAGAGGTCAGTGCCGGCATATCCCCGTACAGGGGGTTTACACAAAGTCGTCAGCCATTTATACAGAGGAGCTCGCGCAGACCATAGCGGAGGTCTTTTTCCAGAGCATTCAGCGCTCCTTTGATGAGGACGAGGAGGCTGCTGTGCCGGTGACCGGCCTTGAAAACCAGTTGGTTAATGAGATCATGCTCACCAGCCCCTGGACGGTGGAGAGCTCTTGGAAGTTCAAAAATGGCTCACACATCAACCTCCTGGAGATGAGATCAGTGGAGAGGCTCCTGGAGAAGAGATCAAAAAGGGGACCTTCCAGGATAGTATGCATGGTCGACTCTTACGTGACCCGCTGTGCCCTGGGCAAAGGCAGATCAGCCTCCATAGCCTTATCTTCAGTCATTCGGAGGATTGCTTCCACTATGGTGAGCTTTGGGCAGTATCTGGTCACCCCTTTTTGCCCTACTCGGCTAAACTGTGCTGATGATCCCACTCGAGATCGTGAGCTCAGGAGGCCTGTGAAGGGCCTAAACTGGCGAGCCTTGTCGGAAGAGGAGCTGTGGGCTTTGGCATCCATTAGGCTCACCAAGAGATGGGCTTCGAACTGGATTAGGCTGGTTCTGCTACTTATGGGACCCTACGTTGCAGAGCTTTCCAACAGAGCAATCTACAGATATTCTCGGCTTTCTCCGTCTCCTGCTTCCTCATGTCCTTCCACAGATGGACGCACCTCTCCTCAGATTCACGCTGGCGGAAGATTGGACTTCGATCAGACTTTGGGCTTCCCTGGGGAAGGGCCTGGTTTTGGCCGTTCTTCGCCTTGGTTTTGGGCATTCAGCTCCAATGTTACCTCTGGTGTCCCGATTGACTTCGAAGGACCTCTCCCTCATTTCGCTTTCCCGGCACGGCCTCCTGGGCTCTCCTGCTGGCGCTGGGGTCCCTGCTGGGTGCTGGGTGCTGTAGTGATTTTCCAGGGTTTACCGGGCGCACACGCCATGGAGCCGAGAACAACTGCCGATCATGCTCGTGCAGCACTTAGAAGATCCAGGCCAGTGCTGCCGGAAGGCAGACCCACTCTGGATAGGACAAACAAATTGAGAGAAAGGTACTGGGAACAATTTTTAGGCTGGCTGGAAATTGAGGGCATAGATTTTTCTGCGCTTCTGGCTGATCATAGCCATTACATTGATGAGATAAACACGGTCCTGACAGCCTTTGGTCGTGCTCTGTACAGGGCAGGAAGACCATACAACCAGTATGCAGAAACAATAAACTGCCTCACCTCCAAAAAGCCGGCACTGAGACGCTGGATGCAGGGAAGCTGGGACTTAGCGTTCCAATGGATGCAAGCGGAACCAACAGCTCATCATGTAGCCATGCCCTGGCAGGTTTTACTGGCGATGACAACAGTATGCCTAATGTGGGGGTGGCTTCCGCTCGCTGGAGCTTTGTGTTTGATGTGGGGAGCATTGCTTCGGCCGGGCGAATTCCTGAACGCACTTAGGCTGGACCTGCTTCTGCCCCGCGACGTGGAACAAACTATATCCTTCGGGATCTTGGCGATCAAAGAGCCAAAAACACGCCATACTGGTGCAAAACACCAAGCTGGAAAGATTGATGTGCCGGATCTGCTAGCTGTAGTTGACTTGGCATTTGGCGACTATGAGGGTGGACGCCGTCTCTGGGGACACTCTGGCCAAACGTTGAGGTCAAGGTTTCAGGCTGTGCTAGCGGCCCTCCAGCTACCTACGGCGAAGACTGGAGCGCTTAAACCGCTCGATCCAGGCTCTCTTAGAGCAGGTGGAGCAACGTGGCATTTGCAAATGACCGAAGACGGCGAGTACTGTCGTCGCAAGGGTCGCTGGTTGTCACAAAAAGTTATGGAAGTCTATGTTCAAGAAACCACAGCCCTCCTTTACCTCAAGAAGATCGATCCTAGCGCACGTGATCTGATTCTGGCTATGGCAGGTTTGTTCCCTCGCATCTTGGAACTTTGTCAAACATACAAAGCATTGCACCTCCCCTCCGTGTTGTGGTGCAACCTCCTGAAGACCGAAGCTTGGACGTGAAGGGGACGACGGGTGTCAAGCAGAGGTCAAAGCAAACCCTCTGCCTGTGAACCTCAA